CTGGCTGAGATTGTCCAAATAAGAGATCAAAAGCAGACTGATCACACTATGTTTTACCTCAATTCTGAGGAGGATTTTAAAAATTCTCTTTACTACTCTGTGATTGAACAGAATATGGTAACATTGTCATATTCCAATTTTAATGATATTTATTCAGTTATAAGTTTATTATGCTCAATATTTCTATGTTTATATATGACATTGTCATGGCACAATCGCACACACATATTTTGATGTAAAATAGGTAATGCTTTTGTAGTGTAATGAAGCATGCCATATGATTGTTTCATTTCTTATAAATGCTGGTAAATCCTTGCATTTCAAACACTTGTGGGAAGATACACTGAAGGCTTTGGTCAACAAGTACAATAAAAAGTAAAGTTTGGTCACCAAGTACAATAAAAAGTAAAGGGATTCAGGGTTTCCTAAAAACATATCTGAGGAAAAACTATTTCTACTTATATTTATTTTCTTTAATATTCAGTATATAAATACATTTGCAAATTGCCTAGTCTTATTAATGAAAATGAAAAAGAATCAAAAGTAGTACGTTTAATTTGATAAATGACTTTTATAAATTGGAAATGAACACTTTCAAAACAGTAGGTAATTAATAAATGTTGCTAAACCTGAAAGTTCATCTTTTGCAATGTAATGTGTGGTTTTAAAAATTATACTTAAAAAAGTTATGCTTTGAAAAGCATAATCATTTTGAACTATGAAATGCCTTACCTTTTTCCCCCTTATTCCTTTTATTTTCATACAGGTACATTAAACTACTCTCCCTACTAAATACCATAGTGTTGATTTACTCCAATGTATGTATACTGGATTCTTCTGTTAAAACATGGATTGAGCTTTAGCATAGTCATGAACAAGGGGCCAGGGAGATGGCTCAGTGGAATAAGCGCTTCCCTGGCAAGCACAAGGGCCTGAGTTCAATCCCAGGTTCCGCAAAAAAAAAAAGTCACGAACAAGCACTAATGCTTTTTCTTCCTGCAGTAGTCATTATAAAATTGTAACACCTTCAACATGTTCTGCAAAGAGTTAACTTTGTTATGCCCATTTTCATAGGTGCATCTATAACATGAACCTTCCTTCCAGATTTTGTTCCTTTGTCATGCAAACAATGTCCACATGAATGCCTTTTCCGCGGCTGGGGAGAAGCACTGCTCTTAGACTTGCTGCATTCTCTACCTTACTGAACCACTGTAACTAGAAATGCTTTCACCACACAGTACCAAGAATATATTATAACTGTATTAAAGTAGATCCTGAGAAAGGTCAGGGAGTTAAGGCTAAGTAAAAGAAGGAGGCACATCGGTACTACTTAAAATATTTTTAAGGGAAGGGAAAAGAAGTGCTCCCTTAATTCATCTCTGGTTACTGAGAAGTTGGCACAGATAATGTCTACTGTGTTGAAGGTTTAAATAGCTATCACAGCATTTCATAAATTTAAACTGGAATTGAAAAGCTTTCCTTGTCTCCAAAAGAAAAACAGTCACATATTACTTACATAGTAATTACAGGCTATGCAGCTGCCCTAGAAAGCTTTACTATAAATGTGTTAAGCACGAACCACTACACAACCTTATTCAAAATTCATTCTACATTAAGCCAAAGAAATGTCATCCTCCACACCAATTGCTTATGCAAGAACAATGGCTATCTCCCTTGTCAGAAACCTAAATAATGTAATAGAATCAATGTTGTTGATTTCATCTACAGTTGGCTCAATGTCATTACTGTTTTTGCTCTCCAAGTGGAAAAATCTCTTTCCCACTTCCTTATGCAGTACTGAAGCTTACGCTAGCACACACACATTTTAGAATGAATAAGCTTCTTAGGAGTATCATTTAAAGATTGGGAATAGAACAAGTATGTGGCTTCTATGGAAATAAAAATAGTGACCTCAATATTTATATTGCACTGATCCTTGCTGTAAGCCATTCTGATGTAATGATTTAAAGCTTACCCAGCACTTCTACTTGGGTAATCCTGTAAAAAAAATTCAGCTGGTCACACAGTTCTGCAATAGTATAATGCCAGCATAGAACGATAGAGGCTAAAGCTGCCAAAGAGTGTTAAAGAAAGTCAGTGGAGGTGAAAGATTTCAAAGTATCAACTTGGTCATTAGAGGTCCTCATAGCAAACATTCTAAAAATGTTACTCTGGCATTGTTTAATTGGTCTGAGTTTGTCTGAACTTTTTATTTCTCTTTTAGATACAAGGTCTGGTGAGGCAGTTCAGGCAGGCCTTAAGCTCACTTTGTAACCTAGGCTGGTTTTGAACTCCCAATGATCCTCTGGCCTCTTCCTCCAGAGTGCTGGGATTACAGGTGTGTGTCACTATGCCCAACTTTCAATCTTTATGTAATGAATTTGACAAGATTTGGAAAGAGATGTGGCAGCTAAAATTGTCAGATTTAGGACAAAGTCTTCAGGAAACTTAGGAAAGTCAGCTTAGCATGATTTATGTTGTCATCATTTAAAATATAGACATTTAAACATGCAATAGACTCTTATGAACACTTCATCTCTGTGCCTTTCTTTCTAAAGACACATAAAACCATCCCGGTCATGAAAGAACACTGGAAAAATTACAGTTTGACACACATTTTATAATACACCTGACCAGTGTTCTCTGCACAGTTGCCAACGTCATGGAAAAAAAAAAAACCCTAAGAACCTGTCACACACGAGAGGAGGCAGAGAATCATGACAAGTGAACTCAATAGCTTATGCTACCCAACTAAATAAATTTCTGTGATTGAGTGTTATAGTACAAAGAGTGGATTATTAATAAAAATTGGTGACACTCAAATAATCTCTCTACTTTGTTATGAATCACCTTTTGTAATAGTTGCAACAATTATTTCAGGGTCATGTAACACATTTGCAAGAAGGGAAACTAGGTACGGAGCATATAGGAACTCTCTGCACTAACTTTGCAATGTTCCCATATACTCAAAATTAAAAGCTATTTTAAAATAGTAAATAGTAATTAGCTGGGCATGTTGGAACACAACTGTAACCCAGAATTACGGTGGGTGAGGCAGGAGTATTGCCATGAGTTTAAGACCAGCTGGAGCTACATGGTGAGTTTAAAGGCAGCCTACAAGCAAGACCTTGTCTCAAGATATATGTAGTAATTAAGTCTAGTCATCAAAATTAACCATTGTCAACAACATAATATTCTTTATTTTATATAGTAAATCTCTTAGACTTACATTAATGTTTAAAAATTATTATTATGAGTTCTTAAATTTGAAGAGACTTTTAGAGTATACATAAAGAATAATAACCACTGAATTCTCTAAACTTCTTCCTTTTGCTCCTCCTTGCTATGAAGAAGTAGACACCTCCTACTCACAAGCTTCTGGCAGTGACAGTTATTCTTAGGTCCTTGCTGTATAATGACACTAAACAGTGACAGTGACCAAAATATAAGTGTGGGTTTCCTTGTTACAAAAATTAACTGGATTTCGTATTTTTACACGTGATAAGAACAATTAAAGAGCTAGTCATCTGACTACTTAAAATGTCACTCCATTTGGAAGCAGGCTACTGATGAACTTGGGAAATACACTGGAGTATTACAGATGTAGGGAGGCACACAGTGAAGACTATGAAGTGAATGCGAAAATTCAGTACACTATCTAAAGGCGTGTCAGTGAAAGTACACAAGAAGCACATAGCTTCTTCTGCAGAAACAGGCTTAATTTCTATTAGTTGGGTAAAACCTAGTTTATCTTAGGAGGAAAAAGTTAAAAATGCAGGATGCAGTGTTTTACTCAGATAATGTGCACAGTAGGTGTGATGGCTGCATTTTCAAGGGACAGACACAGGAGAAGGCAAAATCAAATATAAGTGAGAGTTTCCAACACAGGGGAAAATCACTTGAATGATTGATTTTACCACAAAGGATAAGAGCTTAGAGAAAAGGGTAGGAAACAAAAAATGTCACATTGTATTTATTAAAGATGCTGCTAAGCAATGTCTGATTCTGCGTGTAAGTGAAAGACTTCATATTTTGAGGAAAGAAGAAGGAGGGCAGGGGACAGTGGCAGGAGGTCCCTGTGGACAGCTCCTGTGAGGACAGTGATGCCACCCTCCGCTGCTGTTGTCTCTCCTGCAGGGCTGTAGTCAGCCATGCTGAGCAGCCTGGTTGGGAGGATGCTCTGGGCACCGAGGAAGGCAGCTGGCGTCGCGTGTGGAGCGAAAGCCACGGAATCGTAGCAGGTGCTGAGGCACGCAATGCAACCGATGGGCCACAGCAGAACAGAAAGAGAATGGCACATCTACAAGAGACGTGAGGAGGACCGCGTCCCACCCGTGCTCGGGATGGGGGACAGCAGATGCAGCAGAAAATGCACATTAACATGGACACTCATGGAAAGAGTGATGAGAAGGCATCGGTGACTCTAAAATGCACAGAGCAACTTCATGGCTGGAAGCTGCACAAATTCCACGCAGGAAGCACACGGTGGGGGCACCCACCAGCAATCTCAGCACTAGGAGAGACCGAGGCAGGACGATCTCAAGTCCCGGGCCAAACAGCTGTGAGACTTAGTAAAACTCAAAATGAAACAAAAGAGCCAGCGGGACGGCTCAGTGGACTAAGCATCTGCTTTGAGAAGCACAGGGACCAGGGTTCATCTGGGTCCCACATGCCACGCTGGCCCTGTTTCCGGGGCTCACTGAGCCTGCCACCAAGTCCCAGCACGGTGGCTTTCACCTGTAATCCCAGTGCTGAGGAGGCTGAAAATAGGAGGATCACTACGAATCTAAGCTGCATAGTAAAACCCTGTACCTAAAACAGAAAATGAAAATGAAAATAATAATAATAATGATTGAGGATGGTCCTCTGCAAATAAGCGCTGGTACCATGAAAAATAATACAAACTGCAACATGTCTGTTCTATAGAATTTTTCATGCCTTTTTCTTTTGTAATTATTCCTCGGTCATCTATCGATCTGCAGTCCACACGAAGGTCCTACCTTCCTCGGGGCAAGTCAGTGTCATCTTTTTTCCACCGCACGGTTGGGTGAGGATCTCCTTGCACCTGACAGCGAAATTCCACAGCTTCTTCCTCCAGCACCACCTGGTTAATTGGCCTCCTGAGAAATGTCGGTCTCTCTGGGAAAAAAAAAACAAACAAAAAGGAAACAGTAAAATGAGATTGAATATTGATGCTTTAAAGCATGCAAAATGTAAAGGAAGTATTTAATTGTTGGACATGAATTGCTAGGAATCTTAGCTGTATCTGACAATCCTTACGTGTAGCATATATTCAATGAAATTAAGTATTCTTAAAACAGTGGAGACTTTGGCTTGAATGTAAGACCATAAACCTTATGGGAAAACTGTAAGTTTATGTCAGTGAATTCCTGAGCTAAACTGGGTGAATATTATCCTAAAAAGTCAGAACACTGAATTTAATAGAAACAAAGATATTTTTAAATCATTATGTATTTCCACATCTCAGAGTAGTAAAAATTAAAAATTGAAACACACACATTACAAAGAAAGTACAGATTAACATTTCATTAATAGAAACAAATTGTACTCTTCATAGGTCATCTAAAATTTCCTACTAAAGTTCTTACTTATCCAGGACCCAGTGTGACCATTTTTTCCCACTCCACATACAGAAAGTTGTCAACCTATATTTTTCTCTAAAACAAATATTTTCATTATCACTACCATTATGCATAATTTTAAAGATCTTCTATGTGTTTGAGATGCTCTTTATTTTTCTTTTATTAACTACTTTTTCCTCAGTATTGAATTATTATTCTGCACTTTATTACATTGTTAAACTTATCTGACTAGATAAATTGTGTCCACTCCCCTACTGATCTTAACACAATATTAAATTGTATTCTAGAACTGTTCTAAACAAAACGAGATGAAAATAAATTCCTAATCATACGATTCTTCATTTCTAAGAAAAAGATAAAGCAATGTGTATATCCCTAAACAGTCCTATTATTCCGTTTCTTCCCTTTCTGTTAGTGGTCTGATGTTGGAAACTCTATCATTTACAATTTATTAGCGCATGTCTTCACGTCATAGGCAATCCAATACTGCCAGTTATTCAAGAGAAAGAGATCTCAGGCAAGTGGAAGGAGGACGGGATCCGTGATGAGTTGCCACAATTTATCTGGCCATCTGGCCACATTCAACTGCTTAGAACATCTAAACAAATGTTAGAGTTTAGAATTATAACTACAATGGTACAAAAGCTAGCACATATTCGGAAAGTAATCTTGAACAAAATAAAACACTTAAGCTAACACGTTAAAAGCATAGGCTGGGCTTATATGCTTGTATTAACTAAATCAAGATCCATATCTAAGAAATAAAGGAGTGAGTTGCAAGAGAAATATTGTAGTTAAAAGTCAAGCATTCTTGGAATTTGGAGAGGAGGCAACTGAATTTCTCCAAAGAGAACTAGACGATAAATTTCAAAACTTTCTTCAAAACCCAGGCTGGCATACATCCTGTGTCTGTATTCAGAGATTCCAAAACTCCAAGCCATACACAGAACAAGGCAATAGGACTTTATAATGGAAAGCATTTTCAGGTTGGCATGTACAAAATCATCCATAAAAACTAGAGAAAGGCAGGAATGCTTCTAATGAGTTTGAGTAACCAGAATTAATGAGCAGCAAAATAACTCACTTAAAATATAGAACAGTGTTCCTATGTGATGACATAATACACAACTTTCCTTTCCAGCTCTAGAAACTATGTTCTGAAAACACCTATTGTAAAAATAGCATACGTGAGACTGAGTTATTGTTCCTGGCAATAAGGAGACAATAACACTGTTATATCCTTATGGGTGGTCCAAATGTTAACATGTCAGATGTGATAAAAATATGGCAACTGCTTAAAGTTGGCAAAATTGTTACAGTAAAATATGTTTTTATTAACTCCCTAAAAATGATCTCCACTATTTTAAATATACCTATCCCATCTCACCTGTCACATTTGGACAATTCTGGCCATCCTTCTTCATGTCTTTTGTTATGCTGTATCATATCTGTCTCAATATCCTGAATGAATTCTAAACATTTACTTTTATGGTCATCTTGACTTTAGGAAAAGACAGAAGTCACACAGAGTCACATCTGATAAGGAAGGAAGGTAAAGGAGGACACGGGGTAACATTTGCATGAGCTGCCCTGCTGCTGGATGGCATTTAGCAGCAGAATTCACTGCTGTTGTGAACATACCTCAACAAAAAAATTCAAAAAGACTTTCAGAACTGCTTCATAAAATGGTAACAATGATGGGATAAAGATTCCAAACAAGGGCAATTATTTTTAGAAGAATTTATGGCAATATGTCTTTTAAAGTAATTTTAAAAATTAAACATCCACCATACATGTTGTGACCAATGCTTACAGTACAAATAAGTCATTAGCATAACAATAAGATTGCATTTTCAGTGCTGCTAGCTGTGGCTATTCATCCCATTCATCTAAGTGCCCATAGTAATGCACTGTTTAAAAGACTCAGGCCAGTGAGCAGAGTGCTGCATAACATGATCAGAACACTCAGGAGGCTGAGGCAAGAGGATCTGAAATTTAAGACCATCTTAGAAAACTTAGAGAGCCCTTGTCTTAAATTTAAATAAATAAATAAATAAATAAATAAATAAAGGCCAAAGTGTATCTCATTCCAAATTGGCTCAAAGACTAAATCACCACTGATTCCACTTTGAAACTGAAAATGATTAATCACCACATTAACAGAAATGCTGTACTATAACCTTGCATGTAGGTGACTGAGCTAGAGACGTCTCTTCTCATCCTTGTGGGCATTCAGCACATTGAATAAGAGCCTCTGCTAAACCAGTTCAAAGCTTGGTGGGTGAAAAACTACCAGCATCTCAGCGTCATTGGGCAGTTATGGGAGATGAAGCCTGCCGCGCAGTGAGAAGGAAGACCATAGAAGGCTTGAGCCAGGTAAGGAATTGGGACCTCTGCCCTCGAGGTGACTGAGAGATGTGGACGAATCCTAAGCAAAGGAGTAAGGTTTTTAATGAGCATCTGAGAATGAGCATGGTGGTAGATCCGTGAAGGATGAAAGAGAAGAGGAAGAAAGCAATATATTGTCTCCAAGAATTTTTGTGAGAACCTATTTCAGCTTAAACTGACTTTGATTCTGAGGATGTGAAAAAGGGAGGCCTGAAAGAGACTCAAACCTGGGAGATCAATCAGAGGTACAGGGAGTAAAAGGAAAGTCTTGAAGGATTTCCAACTTTCCATTTAGCATACATGAGCACATTGACCGTACAAATGGGAGTGTGTGGTATCTGTATGGAAAATGCTAGATTGTGGACAATTAGCTTCTGCTTAGCTAACCTCATTGTTCATCACCTTTGTCTTCTTTGAAGTCAAGCTAATTGTGACTTAAGACAAAGGTCAGAGCTTATATAACAGAAAGAGGAAAACTAAAATAATATTTGTAGTTATAGCTTTTCGATTAAAATCCTAAAGACGCAATCAACAGAGAATTCTTAAGGGTGATGAAGAATTTTTGCCAGAAATTAAGTGCCAATATTATTTTAAAATGTAAAATGATAAAGCCATGCACAAAGAAGTCAGAGAAATACACCAACATTAGTAATCATAAGAAAAAGAAATTGTGAATATTGAAAAGAAGAGAAGCATTATATGTAAATACTGCTCTACAGAGCAATACAGAAAAAACAATATATTGGCTGATATAGGCTTGACGATTGATAAGCACAACAAAAATAAGAAATATACAGCATGGTTGCAATGTTTATAAAATTGGAAATCAAGAGATTTTAAGATAAAACCCTAAAATGTATGGCCAATCCATACATTGAAAATCTATTAATTCATCAGAATAGGAAAGCTGGGCCACCCAGTCACCAGAATAGGAAAGCTGGGCCAGCCAGACAGCTCAGCAGACTAAAAAGCCTGCTTAGGCAGAGAGTAGCAGACAGGGTTCAATTCCTGGCCTGCTGTGCTGGTGCTGCCTCTGGGGTGTGCTGAGATGGTGATTGATTGAGGCTGGGTGTAGTGGCGCATGCCTGTAACCCCAGCTCTCAGGAGGCTGAAAACAGGAGGATCATTATGAGTCCAATCTGTGTAGTGAGACGCTGTGGACCCTGTAGACCCTGTACTAAATACATTAAAAGAGAATATGAAAGCTATCTTTTTTTAGTATAGATTATGGCATTATACTGAATATAAAATAAACCACAAAGGCGATACATAAGTCTAGTTCCATTACAATACACACAAAGATATACATACATATTTTTAGGGGAAGTTTTCTGTATATTTCTCTGACACATCATTAAAAATCAAAATCTGCATTACATATGTTACAAAATTAAGTTCTCTCTTCTCTGAGAGAATAATAGAGATCCTTAACAAGCTTTTGGTTATCATGTACATTCGAAGCTCCAGTGTACTGTATTGTGATGCATGAAAAAGTACCTGATTTATACTTTCAAAAGGAAGCAAGGGGCCAGGGAGTTGGCTCAGTGGAATAAGCGCTTCCCTGGCAAGCGCAAGGGCCTGAGTTCAATCCCCGGTTCCGCAAAAAAAAAAAAAAAAAAAAAAAGGAAGCAAGACACAGGACCCCCACTGCTGTCCTGATGACCACAGTAGGAGCACAGACTTCTGCCCACAAGCAGAGTCCAGGTGCTTAGCAACTGGGCGACCACAGAAGAGTATGCCACAAAAATTTGGAAGTCGGGTGTTGGCTCATGGTATAAAATGTAATTCAGTTCTATCGGAAATATTAGATGCCAAGAATAGTTGAGATAAAATTCCCCTACATATCCATAGTACCTTAAGTTGGATTTTAACTGGAGAAAGTTAGGTTTGGTCTTTCAACAAAGAAATGCAACATGCAATTGATATACTGCTGCTTGTTCACAAATTTCAAAGTATTGCCCTGAGAATTTCTATGATAACATTTCTAGTAAGAATCTCCAAATGATAGTATCCATTATTCCAATTGTTTTATGTTAATGCATTGAGTCAGTTAAGCTCAGCACCTTTCCTAATGGCCTACAAAAGACAAATGCTAAAAATTACAGATTTCACTAATAGTTTTTAATTGAAGAAAAATTTTTGTAAGGA